TTAGTCACCTCTTCCTTACAGAAATAAATTAAAAATCCAATGGATATTACGACACACTGATGGCTGCCCACATTATCCTCTCATCATCGTTAAATTAGCACCCTGACAATGCACTGATGGCAGTACCAGCAGGGCTGAGATAAGCAGCAATAACAAAAGGAAATCAATGGCCAGGCATTCAGGAATGTCCCACCAAAGAGTCCATGTCCCCATGGCCCTCACACCAAGGATGCTCAGCACACCATAAAGGACCCCAACAACCGGGATCCTGTGGATGGGCCTGGGAGCCTGTGCCCCGCCATGGTGCAAAAGAAATGGAGGAGAGATCACAATTCCCATTAGAGGAAGATGGGACTAAGGAAAAGCACTCTTCAGTGATAGGGAAACAGGGATGTCTGAAAACCTCATCCAAAATAGCTGTGGATGCCTCACCATCATGGCCCATCCGCAGCTGATTTGAGCAGGAGTTGGCTTGAACACATCAGCAAAGGTCTCGGTGACATTTTGCTCGGAGGCCCTCGCTGGAAGGGGGGTAACCCACCCCCTCTCTCCACATCCTCCTGGAAAATGGCCAGAAAAGGTGCAGCAGAGATCCTTTCACCCCAGCTCAGGGTCTGAATGGAGCAGTGCTTGCAGACAGGCACTGACAGGGGGGCTCAGGCCACCCCCACTCCCTGGGGAGAGATGCATGGAGAGGTGGGACACACCCCCCTTGGGAGGGGTTCCTGTTTTGAGGGAAGAAGAAAAGGACACGGACGTGGCGGTCAGGGATGTACTGTTGGCCCTGCTAATAGAAACCCTCTGTATAAACAGGGAGAGGATCCAACAGAGATCAGAGATGGTTTTTCTTTCAAGAAAATTAAACATTTAAAACATTTGAGAACACACGCCCTCACCCCCCGGACAGTAATTAACTTCTTCCTGTGCAGAGCATGGAGCACTTTCCAAAAACAGAGCTAGATGGATTATTTTTCAAAGGAAATGTTGTTGAAAGGATCTTCTGTTATGTCCTAAAGTGGGAAAACAGTCACAGTGGCTGAGGAAGGGCTTGCTCCATCCATGTGCCACACGGTGGCTGCCTGAGGAGGTGATGCCACTCCAGATGCTGCAGGTTTGGGGGCTACATGGTGGTTGAGCAGCAGACATGCTGTTTGATGGAAGAACGTCCTTGTTTGGTCATTATATAACCCTAAAAAGCAACACAAAGTAAACCAGTCACCAATAGTGGAAAAATAATCCCAAACCCAACCTGTGAGGGATGCATTGCATTTCCCCAACGTGACAGGACAGGGGAATCTTGCAATGCAAGAGAGGATGTAAAGTCAGATGCAGATGCAAATATATGCAGTGTTCAAGGGGATTTACATCCCACGTCCCCATCTGAGCCCATCTTCCTGTGAACTTAGGAAGAGCTCGGCCCTCATTCTGAGAGCAGTAGCATGAAAAGAGGCAGCTGGTATGTGTGTTAAACAAGCACAGTGTGAATGACATCCCGGCAATAAAAGGACTCCACTGCTAGCCAAGGTGTTTGGTGGGAACAAAATAACTTCCCAGGCTGATCCCACCACACTCCCTGAGCCTGCAGAGAAGCGGGAACAGCACAGGGAGGCAGGATTGGAGAGAAATGGGTAAAAGCTGGTCTGGAGAGACAATCATGCTTTGTAGCAAACTCTGAGGTTTGGATGTTTGTTTTCAGTGCTGCATTGGGAAGAAAATAAAACCCAACATTTTTTTGCAACACGTACTTGTATGGAAACAGCCTTTCTCTGGTTGAAAAGGTCAGGTTTTCTTTCCATATCTCCCTCACATCAAAAATGTCCTGCAATCCCTGGAGCTCGGGAGAAAATTTCCTTTTACAAAGTTAAGCGAGGGCAGGCCTGCAGGGAGAACTCATTCCTTTTCCTAGACCAGCTTGAGCCAGCTGGAAGGAATGGATCTGGGTTTGAGCACCCATGTGCCCTTTCAGGTCTGGAGTAAAGTCAAGGCACAGACAGGCTGCTCAGCAGGACCCTCCTGCCTGGCAGCCCAGGGCATCTCAACCAAGGATGTTCACTCAGGGCCTTGCCCTAGAGCAGGGGACAGCAGGATTTGTCATTGCCCAAAGCTGCATGTGGCCCGTGCCAGAGCAGCCCTTGTGCCTCTCCCTGGGGTACAACATCCACAGGAGGCTCACGTGGCCCCACAGAGCCGGGGGACAGTGCCTCATTTGGCATGGGAAATTATACACTTGGGGTAAGAAGTCTTCTGGCTCTGCTCCTGTAATTTTTCTCCATCCCTTTTATAATCCTAAAATCATCCCAAAGTTTCCAAATTCCCTTTGGGTATCTTTCCTCTCTGACTTCACGCTATGGTCTTCCCCTGGCTGAGATTTAGCTTTTAGCATCTTTGCTCCAGTAAGGATCCCTCTGCATCAGCATCACGAGGAGTTTTGGCACCGCTGATCAGAATCTCCCTCATAATGAGACATCCAGTGCTGAGCCTGGGAGGATGGCAAATGCATACAAAGAAAATATAATTCAAAGCGACAAGACAAAGGAATCTGTTGGATGGGGACCAGTGCATCTGGGGAAACATCTTTGTTTTAGAGGGAGAAGAGAGCAAAGGCAAGAAAAAGGAAAAGAAAGAAAGAGAGGAAAAAGGCATCCGGAGCAGGATTGTTCCTTGCCTGCAGGTGTGCATGCAGGGAAGGCAGGAAAGCACAGAGCGTTTTTGACATTAAAGCATTGCAGGCTGGTCACCTTTGGCTGTTCACTCCCCACTCCCTCTCGGGGTGTTGTGTTCCCGTGCCCGCAGGCAGCGCACTCCGTCCTTTTCTCTTTCCCCACCATCTGCCATCGCAAATTCCCCCGAGCATCTCCCACCCTCGCGTAGAGTTTCAACACGGGGTAGAAAACAACAGGGAGAGAAACCCAAACCCGACCTGTGACAGCACAGGGAGGGACAGGACCCAGCTGTGCCTGGTCCCCACCACAGTGTTCTCTGGCCTCTGCCATTGGGTGCTTTGGGGGCACCCCTGGGTGTCAGTGGGTGCTGGGGGTTGCTTATCCCAGGCTGGGGCAGGGGGAGGATGGGGAATGCAGGGCTGTGCACACAGTGGGATCCTCTTTCCTTGTATGGCTGGGCTGCCAGCGGCACAGTTCCCCCCCTAACCCCATTGTTTCAAATTACAAAGCTGCCCTGATCCCACTGAGCCACCTCAGATCCAAGGAAAGAGCCGGCAGCTGCTTTGAAATCCAGACTGGAGTGTCTCGAGCAGGCAGTGTTTAAAACAACAGCTGGGCTCCCTCCTCACAGGGCACAGGACCCCAGCCCTGGGTACCAGGGAGGGGCCTGTGAGCTTGGAGCCCGTCAGGTAAAGGAAAAGGACATTCAGACCTGGAGAAAGGCTTCCACAGCCCCCGGAGCAGCCAGCATCCTCCTATATAATGCTTGGCTGTTGCCCATCTCCCTTAAGGGCCTGGAGAATTCCCGGGGTCCTGGTGAGTGTTGCACAGGGATATGTTCTTGCATCCTCATGCACCCTGGTCCCTTCTCCATGGGGCATGCTAGTCGCTGTGTGAGACCTCTCCTCCAGCGTGTGTCTAGCTCATTGACTTTTGAGAGTGCAGTCATGGCAAAGGTCTGGAATTTATGCCAAATTTATAATCCTAAATTTGGTTTAAATCCCTCTGTGCCCGTCAGTGCCTCCAGCACACTCTCCTGGATCTTGGGCCACCCACCCCTGACCTTGAGACACTGTGGTAGTGGGAGCTGGGAGGGCACAAGGGGGGCACTGGGGGCTGGCAGTCCCATGGGCTGATCCGATTCTTCACGCGTAGTTAACTCCTGTTTGGATGGTCGGGGAGGAGAGCACAGGGCCATCCTGGGACAAACTTGGTCATGCTCAGCCACATTCCTGCCTTCAGAAGGGCCCGGGGTGCCTGGGCCTCGGTGGAAAAGGGCCCCAGGAGATCACATTACTCGGGGCTTTTGTAGCATTAACAGCTGTGACGAGGTAGCAAAAACTATTAGTGTGCACGGCTGTGTGTGAGTGGGGCGGGGAGACACCGTCCCCCCCAGCTCAGCCTGGCATTAATCCCCCAAACAGATTAATGACGCTTAGCGCTTTGAAGAGAAGAAAAAGGAGATGGGAGACTAATTGGGGAGATCAGCAGGACGAAAGCCAGCACATACTCCCCCCAAAGCCCGAGACAGCGATTGGAGAATCGGCTTCTCTCTCAGGGAACTCAGGGCATCTGC